TTTGGCAACCTAACTTAAAATGATCAAAGTTTACATGGTCCTCCTTTTCCATTTTTATCTCTGCATTCAGCGTGAATCAGAAGCACGAAGGCAGCATTCGAAAGCGAAAGACTTGTTCTTTCTTTTTAAGTTGAAAGCAAGCGAATCCGTTGTTACAGCGCAAAGTTACAATTTTTCGGAATTGAAACGACAGAACTTTCGGACCGACCTAATACATCTGTTCTACTAATTCATCGCCCACTCGCTGTCAACTCCCTTTCTCAAGGTCAGATTCAAAAACGACTTTTTGTGTATACTGATCCAAAAGTGTTGATTTTTGGGACACTTTATATAACCTCTCTTTAGGAACAGTACAGGCATAATGGCTTATTTTATCTAATTATTCATAGTTTTTCTCTAGTGTATGAACACTTCTCCGTTTATTTTAAAAATATATTTGCAGAGCAAGGAAACATCCGATTTTCCGCTAGTCGCCGTGTCTATCTTCATTGCTAAACCAATTCCGTTTGTTGAAGAGGTATATGATATGGTCATATCAAAGTTACTGATTAACATTGAAAGTGTGTATTTAAGATGCTGGAAGCGTTTGCTAAATTGGACTATCCGAAGAAGAAGATAGTGCTATATATTTTCAACTCCCAGCCTTTCGTTATCAAAACGGTTCGGCTAAATATGAGGGTTAGAAGCAGCGAAGAATAAATAATCTAGGTTATGAACTTCTTATCCAAACACGGTGATGAATATTACTCGAAAAAGATCGTGAACGGTGTGACGGAAATCGGCGATCGGGAAGCAAGACAGGAAGCCTTGTAAGTGCTTTCTGTGCCTTGATTTCTGCACGATTTTTGAGATTTTTTTCAAAACCGATGGTGTCTTTTGAAGAACTTTTGCTTCCCGCTTCGATACCGATTTTCTATTTATGTTGGATGGAGATGTCATGTTCACAAATGAGAAAACTATACAAATCTTGATAGAGGCGTCAGTAAACTACGAACTGTAAGTTTCACGTTCTTTCAAAGTCTGTGAAGATATGGTCAGAGCATCCAAACTGAAAGAAGGGCGCAATAAAATTAAGATAGCGGTGTAGACATGATTGTTTCAGACAGAAGTGAGCCATTTTTAAACCTTGTTTTACTTTTTTGTTGCCACTTTTTGGATCAATAAACATACCAAATGTCGCGGTTCAACCAAGACAACTAGGCGCAGCAGAAAAAAAGACCGACTTAATATAAAACAGCTATCCTTA